CCCCAAAACCCCAAAACCCCAAAACCCCAAAACCCCAAAACCCCTTTTAAGATAACTACAGTTGAAAATTTATTGAGGGAAAGCCCTAAAATATTTCTGACTCATTGGCTCTGAGGATTCATGATTCTTGCTACTGGTCCCCGCTGAGGATGCTCTCAGGCTTGTTTTCAATGGAGGGTTTAAAAACTTGCCTAAACTACTCTTTGACTTAGGAGGTTTGAATTTCTCTATCTTGCTAAAATCATCTGTTTGATAAATAATTTCAGACATGTTGTGGTGATGGCTAGACATCTCTTTGTTAACCCCACTTCACTCTGTCTCTCTTTTTGTTAGACAAATGTTTTCAGGTGAGTAATCAAAAGAGTTTTGATATTTAGACTGATTGATGACTTTCTTCAGTGGTCTGAACTTGCTCCTATGCGCTTTTAGGGTAGAAATATCTCCATGGCTATCTAGAGAAGCTCTCTTAATCATATCACTTGACTTATTGCCAATATCAGACTGCTTCTGAGAAAGGATCATGATCTCATTACTGAGTATCTTTATTTCCTTTGATTTTTCATACTTTTCCCTCTCATAAATTTTGGTAAAGTTCTCCATATCCATGAGGAGTTTATCAATGGCTTCTTGGAATCTCTCCACAAGCACCTGCTTCTCAGCAAGTTCGTTCTCTAAGGAGTAGAGATCTTTCTGTCGTTGCTCGATGATGTTGACGAGTTCATCCTTGCCTGTAAGTTTGTTCTTGACTAAGGTTTCATAATCATCAAGTTCCTCCTTTTTAATCTTAATAATTTTTTCGAAATGTCTGATCTCCTCCTCCATCTTCTTATGCCTGATTTTGGTTTTGTTGAAGTTGCCACTATACTCCTCACAGATTCTATTTAATTGAAGATAACTGTGAGTTAGCCTCATTGAGTTCTTCCTCTCTGATGCCAATCTTAGTGTCTATGAGCCCAAGTATCTTGTTCTTGTTGTCAATTTCCATGTCCAGGCATGAGTTCTGCTTGATCTTCTTCTCCATTGCATCATGATTCTCAGTAGCAAGTCGGATTTTGTGGTTTATTTTGTTAAGATCCTCACTCTTCTGGACAATTTTGAGTTCCATATCCTGTTCTTTGAAGGTAATCAGCTGGATTTGTTCATTCTTCTCTTCAATTTTCTTAGTCAGGGCCTTGATCTCATCCTTTGCTGAACTTTCCTGATAGTCAAGCCTTTGGTTAAGTACTTTATTCCTCTCATTATAAGATTCGATATCTTCTTTGATAATATCTCTTTCTCGGGATAATTTTCTGATTTCAAGGTCAATCTCCTCTTTTGTGTCACTAAGCTCAGAAATTTTGGAGTTAAGGCTACGAATCTCTTCCTTCTGTTTGGAAACCTGGGTTTTGAGTCAAACGAGTTCTGATTTTTCATCGGAAATCCTAGAATGATCGATATTTTTGGAACTCCCTTCATAATTTTCTCTGCTACGGTTGATAATGTTCTCCTCGCTAAGGTCCATTTTCTCTTTTAAAGACTCATACTTTGTCTTCAGATCTGTCAGTTCTTTCATGATCAGGCTATTCCTACTAAATTCTCTATTTTCTCTGAATCGGTCCTCATCTGTGATAGAGACAGTGCTGAGATTATTATTAAAATGTCTGACTGACATTGATGTATTTCTGATAAAAGTATCTTGTTTATCAGCAACGGTGGAGGTGTCATTACCATTCCCAGTGCTGACCCTGATCGATGGCATATTCATATGGTCGTTCTTGATCGCATTCATTGGATCCTTGCGATGTCCATCATTAAGACTAATCTTAAGTTTCTTCTTTGATTTCTCAATATAGCGTTTTTCTTCCTGAATTCAAGCCCAATTTTTGGAGAGTTCTTCTACTTCTTTTTCAAAGATATGAATACAATCATCTTTCTCCTTATTTGTAGTTCTCCACCTCATAAAACTGGGAATGGAGGAACTTGATGTATTTCTCAATTTCCTGCATGCACTGCGTCATAGTAATAGATCCTTTCTTACAATTTTTCACTTCAGACTCATGCTTGACTGAGGGAACTGAAGATGAGGAGAACACAAGGTCACCATTTTTGTTAAAATAGTCCTGATCTCAGTCATACATTATGAGTCCAGTCAGATGATCGGGGAAATACTGCAGAATGGAACCATTCCTTCATGACAGGATTAATTTACGGATCTTAGTCAGGCCTTCGAAGAAGGAATTCTTAGATCGCACAAGGTGTTCTATCTCTGAACGAAGTTTCCCCTTCTTATTTAGCAAGAGTATTGACTGACTTAGTAATCTCTTCTAAAGCTTTATTCTTGGTTTTTAGTTGCCCTTTCACTGAGTCTAGGTCATGACTGTTCCACCTCTCGACTGAGGAATTCAAGTTCTCGTTATGATATTTTCTACGGTTCGTAGAACATGGAGTCTGATCAAAATCAGCTGAAGTTTTAAATTGTATTGGCTCTAAATTTACAAAATTTTAACCCGCCTTATGTTGGATGGATTAAATGGACATGAAAATAGGGAATTCTTAAGACTTACCATTTCTTAGATAATTATCACTAAAACTAGACCCTGGTCTGTTCTTCCTCGATTTAGACGATTTATTATTGGCGGTCAAATCGTCATAATCATTACAATCCATTTTTAAATTACAATTTAGAAATTATTTGGGGTTTTGGGGTTTTGGGGTTTTGGGGTTTTGGGGTTTTGGGG